TTTCTCTCTCATATATATATATATATATATATATATATTTTTATTCGTTTTTAGAGTATCCACTGTTGATAATTGTGACTAATTTTCTCGCTATATTGGAGGTACTTCAAAAAGTGAGATAACTGGTCCCAAAATTTAACACAGCTACATACACAAGGTAATATTAAAACAAAGTAAAAGTTTAAGATTTAAAAGATAATAAAAAGGGGTCGATAATGTATTTTAATGAGAAAAAAAATGGAGAAATAAAAAAGAAAGCGCGAATATTGGAGGGGTATATAACATTTAAAAAAAAAAAAAAGAAGAAGAAGAAGAAGAAGAAGAAAGGACCCACCGACCAAATAAAGTAGCGTGAGGAGTCACGAAGAACGGCATCTGTTTAAAGCGTATGGAAGTTGGGGAAGTGTTTGACAATATAAAAAGCGCCTAATTGTATATTTGTATGTATCATATCGCTTACAATTTACACAAACTTTCTCCTGTTAGTAATGGCGAAGCTGTTAGCCTTAGGTTGCTGGCGAAACCTCTCGCCGCGACCACACTATCCGTCCATGCCCAAATACCCCAAGGCCACCTCCGTCGAGGAGCTCTCCGAGGCCACCGCTCTTTTCTCCGTCGTCGGAATGAGTTGCGCTGCCTGCGCCGGATCCGTCGAGAAGGGCGTGAAGCGCCTCCCGGGGATCCGCGAAGCCATGGTGGACGTCCTCAACAACCGCGCCCACGTCATCTTCTACCCCTCCTTCGTCAACGAAGAAATGATCCGCGAGGCCATCGAAAACGCGGGTTTCGAAGCGGCGTTACTGAGCCACGACGACTCCGTTCAAGTGTGCCGCATCCAAATCAAAGGCATGACCTGCACCACCTGCTCCTCCTCCCTCGAATCGGCTCTTCACGCCACTCAAGGCGTCCTCCAGGCCCACGTGGGCCTGGCCACGGAAGAGGCCCAAGTCCAGTACAACCCAAACCTCCTGAGCCACAACCACATTCTCCAAGTCATCCAAGACGCCGGATTCCAACCCACGCTCATCACGTCTAGCGAAGACTTAAGCAAAATAGACCTCCACGTGGAACCCGCCTTAGCCCACCACCCCTCCACCAAACTCATCCAGGATTCCCTGCAGGCACTCCCAGGTGTCCTTGCGGTGGACATCACCCCCGAGTTTAACAAAATTTCCGTTTCTTACAAACCTGACATAACCGGACCCAGAGTTTTCATCAACCTCGTTAACCAAACCGCCAATTTCAAGGCCAAAATATATCCTACACAAGAAGGACAACGAGACTCTCACAGACGCCACGAAACGAGACGTTATTACAAGTCTTTCTTATGGAGCTTGCTCTTTACTATTCCAGTGTTTCTAACCTCCATGGTGTTTATGTATGTCCCTCCAGTTAAGAACTTGCTTGAGGCCAAAATTGTCAACATGCTCACGGTGGGGGAGGTTGCACGGTGGGTGCTGGCCACGCCGGTTCAGTTTGTTCTCGGCTGGCGCTTTTACTACGGTTCGTACAAGGCGCTACGCCGTGGCTCTGCCAACATGGATGTTCTCATTGCGTTGGGAACAAACGCCGCGTATTTCTACTCGGTGTACTCTGTCGTGAGAGCTGCTACTTCTCGAGACTTGGAGGGGAATGATTTCTTTGAGACCAGTGCGATGCTGATTTCGTTCATTCTGCTTGGCAAGTATCTGGAGATTCTGGCCAAGGGGAAGACTTCCGATGCGATTGCCAAGCTCATGAACTTGGCGCCGGACACGGCGGTTTTGCTGAGCGTGGACGCGGATGGGAACGTTGTGGGGGAGGAGGAGATGGATGGGAGGTTGGTGCAGAAGGGTGATGTGATCAAGGTTGTTCCTGGGGCCAAAGTGGCTTCGGATGGGTTTGTTGTGTGGGGGCAGAGTCACGTGAATGAGAGCATGATAACGGGGGAGGCGCGTCCTGTCGCCAAGAGGAAAGGGGATGTTGTTATTGGAGGGACTGTCAATGAGAATGGTGTTTTGCATGTCAAGGCTACCAGGGTGGGATCGGAGAGTGCTCTTTCGCAGATTGTGCGCCTTGTTGAGTCTGCTCAGATGGCCAAGGCTCCTGTGCAGAAGTTTGCTGATCGCATTTCCAAATACTTTGTGCCTCTCGTAAGTATATATAATCAAGGAATTGTTTGCTTTAACAATAAATTACACTCCCTTCAAAAAAATAAAAATAAATTACACTCGCATCTTTAAGGTTTCTTAGAATTACACTCACACTCTGGTCTTTAACATTTATAATAATCTCTCTAATATTTAAGAGGTATTCGTGTTATGTTTTCCAAACAATTGAGAGGGTTATTGTAAGGATAGAAAAGTAGGGAGTGATCATCCAATCTGGGGGTGCTTATTTAATCTACTCTTGTTTTTATTGAATCATTATGCTTGTGGAGGATGAGGAGCTATTTTAAAGGGATGAATATTTCTATGCAGGTGATCGTGATCTCGCTTACTACTTGGCTGGCTTGGTTTTTGGCTGGAAGATTTCATGCTTACCCCAAGTCTTGGATACCGTCTTCCATGGATAGCTTTGAGCTTGCTTTGCAGTTTGGCATATCTGTCATGGTCATAGCCTGCCCTTGTGCTTTGGGTTTGGCGACGCCAACTGCTGTTATGGTTGGCACTGGAGTTGGTGCATCTCAGGGTGTGCTCATCAAAGGAGGGCAAGCGTTAGAAAGTGCACATAAGGTCAACAGTTTACATTAGATTAGATTAGCCCCTTGAATTCTGAATTTGCTTTGTCTATGTTGGTTTGATGAACTTAAAATTGAGCAGTTAATAAAGTGACAAGAAAGGAAATAAGCACAGGAAAGGAGTGCTGATGTTTAAGAGCTATTTCTACTAATTAATTCAACATTAAATGTGTTATAGGAAAGGAGTACTATTGTTTGTATTGTGTTCACTTTATATCATTAGTACTGTTGTTTGTTAGTGTTAAGCTTATTGAAGAAATAGAGTTGTGACATCTCAAAATTATCTATAAAAGCATTCATGATTTTATCTGGACTTACACCTGAATATGTTTATGACTGTCTTGTAGGTAAATTGCATTGTTTTTGATAAGACGGGTACTCTCACTGTTGGGAAACCTATGATAGTGAGAACAAATCTATTGACAAAAATGGTGCTCCAAGAATTCTATGAACTTGTGGCTGCAGCTGAGGTAATCATCTCCCCTATCTCCTTCTCAAAGGCTTAGTCTCATTAATAGTTATAGTAAACAAGAAATTGTTTTCTGATTTTTTTTTTTTTTTTTTTTTTAAGTTATGACTTTACTTGAATTGAATTTGTTAATTGCTTAAGTGCTTTCAATATTCATGGATTATAGATGCATATGCATGTAAACAACTGTCATTAATATTAGTTGCCTATCTCAGGTTAATAGTGAGCACCCACTGGCTAAGGCCATTGTTGAGTATGCCAAAAGATTTAGAGATGAAGAGAACCCTTCTTGGCCAGAAGCACGGGATTTTGTTTCCATCACAGGACATGGAGTAAAGGCCACTGTTCATAACAAGGAAATAATTGTGGGCAATAAGAGTTTGTTGGCTGATCATAACATTGAAATTCCTGTTGATGCCAAAGATATGCTTGCCGAGGCCGAAAAAATGGCTCAAACAGGAATTTTGGTATCTATAAATGGTAAAGTAGCCGGAGTTTTAGCAGTATCTGATCCATTGAAACCAGGTGCTCAAGAAGTCATTTCCATTCTCAAGTCCATGAAAATCAAGTGCATCATGGTAACTGGGGACAACTTTGGAACTGCTAGTTCTATTGCGAGGCAAGTAGGAATTGAAAGTGTTATTGCTGAGGCCAAACCGGATCAGAAAGCAGAGAAAGTGAAAGAATTGCAGGTACTAATGCATAATGATTAAAACTTTTCAACTTTAATTTTTAGAAGTTAGTTATTGTCTGCTTAAACTTCTACAGCTGTATGTACTGGTTCAGAGGAATATATTATCTGTTGTAACATTGAGTGGCTTTTTTTTTTTTTTTTTTTTTTTTTTTTTTTTGTCTTCTAGGCTTCTGGGTACACTGTGGCTATGGTGGGAGATGGTATCAATGATTCACCTGCACTTGTAGCAGCAGATGTGGGAATGGCAATAGGTGCTGGTACAGACATTGCTATTGAGGCTGCTGATGTTGTCCTCATGAAGAGCAACTTGGAGGATGTCATAACTGCCATTGACCTTTCCAGAAAAACATTTTCCCGCATTCGCCTCAATTACTTTTGGGCTCTGGGTTATAACATATTGGGAATCCCAATTGCTGCTGGAGCTCTTTTCCCCTCCACAAGGTTTCGATTGCCACCTTGGATTGCTGGGGCTGCCATGGCTGCCTCCTCTGTCAGCGTCGTTTGCTGTTCTCTGTTGTTGAAATATTACAGGAGACCCAGGAAGCTGGACAACCTTGAGATACGAAGCATAAGGATCGAGTCAGACTGATATGATGCATCACGATTGATGGTTTTGCTTTAGCCAATTTTTCATGTATATAAGTGTTATATTGTGATGATTTAGTTTTGTGTACAAAAGTGGAAAGCTCTTTTCTTCTTTTCCTTGTAAAACTCAGTCTTTTGCACAATTAAATGTACTTGTTTCTAAAATTTACAAATTTGCTGAAACGAAGCTATGCCCAGCTTAAATGTGTGATGTGTGTGGAAGGTTGCCCAATTTTTTCACTGATTGAATTGTAATTTGTAAACCAATATTTTCGCTGATTTAATACAAGTAAATTGATTTGATTTAAAATGACAAATAGCAAAATGCATCTTTGAAACTCACTCTTATATGGATGAATTATAATAGATTCAGAAATTTTTTATTAGTAAGTACTTCATTATCTCTGATAGTATAAGGAAAGGATATTCAAAATACTGTTCAACTCGCCAGTACGTCCTAACCTAAACTAACTATTAAAATAGTTTTTCTTATATTAAGAATATATATCTTTCTGCAGTAGGTAGTTATATTTTTTGTAATTAGAGTCTTTATATAAGACTTTCTCATTCAATAATAAAATTGAAATCTTTTTCTGTAAAATTTACCAATATGGTATCAGTTTAAAATACCCTTCTTCTTCTTCTTCCTTTTTTTTCACAAAAAAGTTAGGAATATAAAGAATATTATAAAGAGAAACATTAGGAGATAATACTACAGTACTAAAAAAATTTGCTATAGAATGTTGACCATTTGGAAGAGAAACATGTATAGGTTGAATAGATTTGTGACAAGAAAAAGAAGATAAAGATGATATTATATGTTCAGTTGCTCCTGAGTCCAATATTATATATTGGTGAAGTGCTAACATCATGACTGCTGACCAAGTTGGTAATAGATGTTGTTGCCGTAGGTGTAGTAGAAGGAAGAAGCGCAAGCAATGCTTGAATTTGATAAGTACTAAGACTTGTTTCCCCTGTTCTTGATGGACCTAATTATCATAGCTGGTCCCATTTAATGGCCATGGCAGAAAAATAAAGTATCTTTTGTAGATGACACTCTCAAGAAACCTGTTTCAAATAATCCCAAATTTTCAATGTAAAAACGCTGTAATACACTTGTTCTTTCATGATTCATCTATTCGATTTTCCCATAAATTGCTCATAGTATCATTTACATTGATACTGTATTTGATGCATGGAAAGAACTCAAGCAATGGTTTTCTCGAAATGACCATGTTCGAATATCTTAACTTTTAATTGATATTCATTCTCTCAAACAAGGAGACTCCTCTGTTACCACTTACTTCACCAATACTAACTACTGGTAACCTCCCCACCTGGGTTTGTCATTTATTCAATATATATTGCATTACACATCCATTTATATAGTGTTTTGACTTTATGACAATAGAAGGAAAGAAAATAAGGGAAAAATACGTGTTCATTTGATTGGTTCTGCTCGTGAAAATAAAATGAAAATAAGAGGAAGATACTTGTTCATTTTGTTTGGTTATGCTGAAAGAAAAGAAGGAAAAAATGACTAGCCGTAGAGTCAATGCAAAAAGACTTTTCAGTGAGCAAGGGTACCCGTACCCGTACCCGTCCCCGTTCTCATTTTTAATTTAATATTCACTTTCAATTTAATTATATTAAAAAAATTTAATATTTTTTTATGTGTGATTATTTATTATAATATGAGATAAAGAAATAACCTAATTATAATTATAATATAAAAAATAATTTAAAAATATCATTTTTTTTATAAAAAATAAAAAATAAAAAAATTGACGGGTACGAGTATGGGTACGGGCATACCCGATACCCGACGGAGACGGGGATGAGATGAAAATCTATACTCGACAGGTATGACAACGAGAATGAAAATGAGTTTAACTTGCAGGGAGGAGAACGGGTATCATGATACCCGTCCCCGCTCCGCCCCGTTGCCATCCCTAGAACGAAGTGCATGTTTTAAACTTGTATATAAAAACTCTAACAAGAGAAATTTTTTTCTTACTTAAACTGCTCCTTTGCCTATAAAAGGATATTTTAAAGTGGGTGCGTATGCTTAAATTGTCAAATGTCAGTTCATGTGCTATGGCACTGCATATTGAATGTTTCAGCAATAACTCACGAATTCCAAACCTTTTTAAAGTTTATTTGTGGCTATCATAAAATTCAAAAACCTTTAGACTTTTAATAACGCTGATATCATCGTTAATCGTTAATTATTATTATTGTTATTATTAATCAATCAATCAATGAGTTGGATATCATAAAATAAGCACAGTCAATCTAACTCTCGCAATCAAACATTTCAACTTGTTATTCCCTTCTAAGCTGTTGAGTGATCAGGTAGAGATATATTTTTCATATATTGTCAAGACTTTTTAGTAATAGAGGTTTTGTGTGTCTGAATAAGTTTATATTCATTATTTTATTTCAATACGAGACTTTAATTTGTATCTTCATAAGAAGTTGTGTATATTTATTTATTTATTAATAAATTAACAAAGTCTAACTCAATTACTTGAGTAGTATAGTATTTGTGAATTGTCTTAAACTCCGAGTTTGATTTTTGGCGAATAAAAAATATATTTCATAAATTAAATAAGATTTAATTATTAATATTCTTATTTTCATTTTTCTCATTTAAGTAGTTATAT